GCCCCTTTCCTTTCATCCCTTCTCCGCCGGGAAAGAGGGGCCCGGGGAGGGCAGGTCCCGAAACGCTCAGAGCCTCGATCCTCGAACCTCGAAGCCTCCACGACCACTCCTCCTCCTTCTCCAACCCAAACCCGCCCAAAATCGTTCCCCGCGCCCTTCCTGGGGTCAATCCGATGCACGTTTTCACCCCGTGTCCGTTTTCTACGGCCCCCGGAGCCTCCTCATCATTCTCCCCAACCTGCTCCCTCAATTGCCTCCTCCACCCTTCCTCCCTCTCCGCCCCCTCCTCCTCCACCCCCCCCCGCGTTTCCATATTCGTGGCCTCCAGGGTCGGCGGCGCAGGCCGTAAGGCCTTCGCAATGGTCTTGGTGGACTTCGTCTTTCGCGCGCGGCGGCGCGCACATGTGCACCGCTTGCAATGTGCTCATACATGATGCGTTTCTGCAATCAACGCGTGTGTACCGCAGAACAGAATTGACAGGGGCCAGCGGTGTCGATGCTGGGATTGGCTGGCATGCGGTAGTTGATCGGCAAGATGAACGGTCGTGCATAATTAACAACAATGTTGTCAACAAAAACCGGTATGCGGAGACCAGGACATGACAGTAACGGGTCCTTTCGGGAGGCCCGCGGGTTGGGCCGCGACCCCACAGGGAATCTTTTTCTTGAAGGGCCAACGCAACCAGACATCTGTCAAAACACCTGTGGCAGGCCAACAGGGCTGCGGATTCGACACGGATGAAGGATGTCGACATAGAGACTGGCTGGGACATTGTGAATTCTTTTCCAGGATGGACGATCGTGCAACGTGCATTTTTGCGCCCAAGGGTTGCGCGAAGCGTCGCAAGAGAAAATGCCAGCGTAGCCCCCTGACCTGCGGACAACTCATATCATCGGCCGGCCAACAGGTGTTCCATCAGCTCGCGCACGGCCTCCTGTGGCCGGCGCATGCGAGTGCCCTGGACGACGCGCTCGTTTTCGAGCTTCGTTGTCCGGATCGTCAACAGCTGCAACCTCCTCGGCCGGAATCTGTACAAACCGGCCGGGGTGCCGGCAAATCTCCTTCCAGCACGGGTGCCTGCGGGAGTCGCAGAGGTGGCTGAGCAAGGCAAGGCGAATTCCAAAGACATTCTGGCCGACTGGGCAGGCGCCGCTCGCCGCAGCGTAAAATCTCTGAGGGCATTTCTCGCCGTGCTTGATCCGGCGGTGTTGCGCGGGCTGCTTAGGGGTGTGGAAGGCTACTCCACAAGCATCGCATCGAAACTCCCGAATCGCAGCGGCATCGTCTGGGCTAGCGGCCCGAGCGTCGCACAGCGAATCCGTAAAATGCACAAGCGCCACGCACTGTTTCCATCTCAGCTTGTCTGAGAATATGAACTGGGTCCGTGCTGCCGGGTCCGAATCTGGATCAGGCAGAAGGCTACAGCGGGCAACGAGGCACCGCATGCGCCGCATGTCGTCACTGATCAGGCGAAGCCATCTCGACCGGCTCCCGCGAGGACGCTGCCGGAGGAGAGCGAGCAAGGCAGGCGGCTGCGCCCGCGGCGCGCGCGCTAGATACGTGAAGCGGGCGCGCATGAACACGCAGTCCAGAGACGGCACCCGGGCGCGAGTGCGGAAATCGAGATCGCTCTCACACGGCGCTCCTGTACGCATGGCGTCGTGCAGGCGGCGCGTGCCGCGCATGTGCACATCGTTCAAAATGGTGAAAAACGGCTTGGTGGGTACAGCAACGTGGAGATTGTACAACAGCCTGGACAGAACCAGAGTCTGGAACATCCGACACCGAATGTCCAGCGACATACGGGAAAAACCAAAAACCTTGACCGCGAGCGGCGCATACGCTGCCAAAGCTCTCTTCCGGCGACCGTGCGCTAGCGGTGCAATCGAGCCCGACAGGGAGATTTCCCCACCCAGGTGTGTACTCGGCGACTATGTGCAACGCATCAGACGAGCCAGGCACTGGAATAGATGGCGGGGCGCCGGGGCTCGGACTGCGAGCTCGCAAGCGCGCCGCGGCACCGTCTCCCCTATACTGGATCACCGCCTCTGTTTTCCCGGGGCTCCAATTGATCTCAATATTCAAGACGCGATAAAAGGCTCTGCACTGTGCGCAGGAGCACGTCGATAGCTGAATCAAGAGCCTGCGGGGATCTAGTAAACAAGATGAGTACGGTGTCAGCAACGAAGCCAGCATACAGCACATGCTGGCGCGCGTGCTCGGCGCCAGGGCTGGGGGCCGCTTGCGTCCAGGGTGGCAGGGGGTCACTGTCCAGCGACGGCGCGATCCCAGCCTCCAGGAGCGCATCGAAAATCATGTGCAAAGCTACGCTGAAAGTGGAATTAAGAAGCCAAGCTCCGTACTTGCACCCCTGTCTCCCCCCAGCCCGGGTAGCCGCCGCCTCGTCCACCTCCCCGTAGCTAGACCAAGATTGCAAGTGCATGTTCTTCAACAGGCGCACGACCTTGGGGGGTGCACCCCACTGCTCGAACAGACAGCCATGTACAGCTACAAACTTGGCTATCCAGTCCACCTGGCGCGGCTGGAGCCCAAGGGAAGCCAAATGTGCCCGAGGATCCTCGGCTCCGGCCATCCAGCCCCGAGTGACTTCTCGAACGATCCGGTCGAAAGCCTTCGCAAGGTCCATAAACAAGACGAAAATGCACAGGCGTGCCGATGCAGCATTTTCCAGAGCCTCGCGAACCAAATGTGTCGCGAAGTTCGTGCTGCGGCCGTGCACTGCCCCATGCTGCGCCTGCGGCTGGTGAGCCGTGTGCGCGGGCATCACGGACAGGGCCAAGTGCTGTTTCAGCCTTTTGGCCAAGTGATCCTCGAGGATGATGCCCCGCGAGTCGTCGCAGACAGCGCGATCCCCCTTATGTTTAAAGATGTCCTACGTGCGCCCGCCGGTCCACGAGACAGGCCAGCGTTCGCGCTTGATCACCTCATTGTATAGCTCGGTGGCCAGCGGTGCCATCACCGGGGCAGTAGCCGCAAGAAGCTCGGCAGGAAGGCCGTCCGGGCCTACCCCCTTGTGGCGCCCGAGGCTCATCCACGCATTGATGGCGTCCTGAACCGCCATATCATGAGAGCCCTCGATCGGGATTTCGTGGGGCTGGGCGCGAAGCTCATCCATTGTAACGGACCGGCCGCGGAACGCGTCCTTGAAGTGCTCCTGCCACCGCTGCTGCCGCTCAGTCTCATTGGTCGTGACCTCGCCGTTCTGCTGTCGCGCCGGGCGCGGGGCAGAGGACGGACTGGCGCCGCCGAGGGGGCGGGCGATGCTACAGGGGCCGCGCCAGTCGCGGCGCGAGGCCGCAAGCTGAGCCTCTGACGCCCGAAACTCGAGAAATATGATGCGGCCGTAGGCCATGTAGATCTGAATGAGCTTCCCGAGGAGCATGCTCAGCCGCTGGGGACATGCCCACAAGGCCGTCCATGTCCACGACCTCATTCTCAAGTCGCTCGCCCGCGCGCGGGCGCCCCACCCGAGCAGCGGGGGGTCAACTCCAGGTGCGTGCGGTTGATGGCATGACGCCTGCCACGCCGTCCAGCACCGAACAAGGCGAAGGTCGTTGCGATGCAGAACGGCGGCAACGCCGCGTCGGCGATCGGCTGTATCCAACGCTTACGTGGGCGAGCGCTTGGCCGACACATGTGCGCCGCGGCCGCCTCCTGGGCCGCGCGCGCGAGGCTCGACGCCTTGCCATTGATATCGCAGTGCGGGTCAAGAGCGAAGTGCCGAAGCTGACCACATACCCCGGCCATGCAGTCAGGGTCCGATAGCTTCCACTTGTTCAAGCGAAAACCGGAGGAATGACTCCGCGGCTGCGGATGCTCGCGGCGTGCACGATACCGCACTGCCACGCAGCGGTGGTCCTCGCCGCAATGCAGGGCGAGGTCGACCACTGACGGCGAGCCGGCGTAGAGGACCCCATCCACGCAATTGACGTCATCGCGGACGTAATCGATGCGCGCGGTCGTGCCATGTCCCGATCTCCACGTGTAGCCAACCCGGTAGAACGTGCTGACTGCTCGCAGGCCACACGACCGGAGAAGAGCGACGAACGAGGCACCATTGGAATTGGCGACTGTCGCGTTGCAGTCGCCGACGAAGGGCAGCGCGGGTCCGACGCGGGCGTTCCCATCCAGCAGGAGGTATACTCGAGCTTTGGTGTAGCGCCGGCGCAGGGTAATAACGATCTGCCCCAGGCTGTCCCAAAGCGCCGCCCTCTCCTCAGCGGGCCGGTGCCCGTGGGAGCGTGAGCAGAAATGAACAAGCAGGTGCCCACGCGCGCCTGGGAGGCGACCAGCCATACCAAGCGCGGCGAGTGCACAGTGTGAGCCTTTAGCTTGAAGCCGGCCGCACGCCGGAGCCACAGCTCGCACCCGTAGCATCCATCAGCGTCCGCTGCACCAGCATATCGCTCGTAGTGCAGACCAGGGCGGATCTCGCTCATGCGAACTCGCCCTTCCTGCACCCCAACAACGTCGATGCCAGCAGCGCTAAACTCCTCCTCCAGGACAGTGACTTTGCCCATGAGCTGCGCTCCGGCCACCTGCGCACGGGCCGCGTCGGCCTCGTGAGGGTAAAGGGAACCAACGTTCGCAGTGGCGACACACAGTACAACTCCCTCATCGGTACTACTGTCGACTACGGTCGCATCCCCAGAGTGGGGTGACTCATCCAGCATGGGCGCCGGAGGCTCCCCAATGGTAGGGAGCATAGCGGCCACGGCACTCGCAACAGAAACGGCCGGCGGTGCCGAAGATGCACCTGCACAGCCAGGGGCCGAACCGGTCGTAGAAGCAGAAGTCGACGTCCATGCCGCGGCCAGGGGCACGGCCGGTACAGACACCTCCACGGCCACCTCAGAGAGATGGTAAACGTCAGGGTCATGAGCTGAATAGCGTAGAGAGTCAAAGCTGCACTCCGAGCAAGGCGAGCCTGTGGTCGCGTCGCCCTCAGACAGCGCACCGTCGCCCAGGGTGGGCAATGTTACTCCGGCGACGGGTCCGTGCTCCCCGCCCCGGCTCGTGCCTTGGAAGGGACCTTCGCGACCGTCTTGATCACCCGGAAGTGGTCGGTGATGAGCCGCTTGGGCGGCTGCTTGCCGTTCATGCGTATGTAGGTGCTGGCTGGAGGTGGGCCCAAGGGCTGCTTGCCCTCGCGCCTCGTGTTCGGAGCCCCCCATTGCCAAGTCCTGCTGTCCGCGCTGCTGGGCGCGGGCCTCGCGCAGCGTCACGGTGAAGCCCTCGACGAGCCGCTGGCAGTGCTGCGTGGCAGCCTCGACGTGTGCAGGGTCGACGTACTCGTCGTCCCTGAGCTCCGAGATCATCCCGCTGAGCAGGCGCTGCACCTGAGCGACCGGTGCTTCCGCCAGCTCCGGGGCCGGAGGTGGAGGGGCATGTACCAGCTGCTGCTCGAGATCGGCGACTTCCTTGGCGTACTGCACCGCCTCGGCGTCGGCGACCTGCTTGAGAGCCACGGCAGCATCGATAGCGGCCTGGGCGTCCGCTTGGCGCCCCTGGGCCCTCGTCAGGGCGGCCCGGGCTTGGTCCACACGCGCACCGACAGGCTTGCCGGCAGCCAAGAGCTGCTTCTTCGCCGCGATGCGCTGGAGGATGGCCTCCTTGAGGGTCTCCTCGTCCTCCAGGATCTCCGCCAGAGACCCTTCGAGCTTCTTGATCTGAGCCAAGGTCGCCTTGGTGTCGCCCGGCTCGGCGGGCGCCGCGGGGGGCGGCGCCTGCTGGACGACCTGCTGCTGTGCCTCCACGAGCTTGGTCGTGATGGCCGTGAGCTGGTCCCTCGTGGACTGGCCGGCCTTGGGCGGTGGAGCAGCCCCCCGGGTCTCCCCAGACTGCGGGCTGCGGCCGCCGTCGCGCGGCGCATTCTCTGGAGCAGAGCGTGCCACGTCGCTGTACGTCCTCTTCACCCCGCACGTGGCGCAGGACTTCTTCATACCTTGCAGCTCCACTGCCTGTGCCCGTGGCCGGAGCCCCAGCCCCAGCCTCCGGACCACGATTGCCAGCCAAATGACGGCGGCCATGGCTGACCTGGCTGCTGCCATCCCTGCGCCGAGTCCCCGTTGACTGGGTGGTTGGCCGGCCGCACCGCGCCTTGTCCACCGCCAGCGCGCTCTGGAGCACTCCATGCCGGCATGGGTGCTGAGCAATCGCCGAGAGAACGAGAGCACGAAACCACACGCTGGTGCGGCTGGGCTGGGGTGTAGTCTTACAATCAACTCAAGGGCCACTCCCTAGTGGCAAGCCTTGAGCCAAAATGGATACGGATGCAACGTACATACGAAATATCCGCCGACCCCTTGTGGGTCTCCAGGCATGTGAGATTGTTCCCCCCCATAATCCCCCCAAGAACCCCAAACCGGGATTCTGACCCCCCCCGCCCAGCCCGGCCCCGCACCGAACTCACCCGGGGCGGTCTGGGCTCCCTGGGCTCGCTCTTGAGCTGCACGACAGCACTTGACGCCTCCCAAGAAGCCGCCAAGACGGTCCACGAGAACCCAAAGTCGCCGAAAGATCGTTCCAAGACGCCCAAGATGAGCTCAAAACGGCCCAAGAGGCCGCCAAGACACCCCACGAAGCCTCCAAGAGGTCTCCCAAGAAGCCCCCAAGAAACCCAAATCTTAAAATTTCCGTTGGAAATCGTGCATTTTCAGCATATCCAACTTGTTAGCCTTCACGGCGCTGAAAGCCGTTCACGAGGTTCCCAGGAGGCCCCAAAGACAACCCCAAAGAACTCCAACGTGGCCCAAGAGGCGCCCTAGACGGCCCCCAAAAACTCTAAGACGGCCCCAAGAAGGGCCCAAGAGAGGGACCACGAACCGCGAATTCCAGCGCTCCGCCCAACGAAGCTCTCCGGAGGACCCAAGGGGCCCCAAGCGGCCCCAAGAGGCCCCCATGAGGAACCCAAGAGGCCCCAAGGAGCCCCCAAGGGGCCCAAAAGAAACCCCCAAACGGCCCCCAAGGCCCTTGGTGGAATGCAGTCCTGGAGGCGCAATAGTTTATAGAGGGGTCGGCGGATGTGGCGTAAGCCTATAGAATCAAAAAGCGAAGGTGGACCGTTCAGTCTGGCCTATGCTGGGGGGGACAATCTCTAGAAGAGAGGTTCTACTGGTGCAGTTCACCTTGCTGATATTGAAACGGTCAATTCAAATCCTCGTGTAACCATCCCGCCCACCCATCCACCCGCAAGTTGTTGGCAAAAACCAGCTGGTCGGTGACGACGACGATGACACAAACAATGGTGATCTTGATGACGATGGTGCGGGCGATGACGACGCCGATGGTTGTGATGGCGACGAAGCTGAGGGTGATGATAACGACGTGGCTGCGGTGACGCTGGTGCTCATGGTGGCAATGGTTCTGGTGGTGATGATGATGACGAGGTGCCCGCGGCATGGCAAAGTCGACGACATCGACGATGACGGTGGTGACCCCGATGATGCTGACGGAAACAATGATACCGCTGACGATGATGATAGCGATTGTGCTGCTGAGGATGATGAGAACGTGCGTCCGCAGAAATTCAATTGTCCTGACATGCTACTACCGACAATTTTTTACCGTATGTGTTTAAACACCTCTGTGCTGCAATACACCTCTGTGCTGAAATGATGAGCGAACCCATTGTTTCGGAACGATTTTGACTCTGACGTGCGCGCGCGGCGGACGCGAGCGTGTGTCCCCGCATGGTCGTCGTTGACAACATTGGTCGACGCGCGATGGTGGTTGAACGTGATCGACATGCACGTGCAAGTTGCCCGCAACGTCTCATTTGACAGACCGGTACAGTACCTATGTATTCTTCAATTTTCAACAAATGCGCGCTCGCGCGAAAAAAAAATCGGGCACCTTCTTGTCCCCAGCCCAGCGGGTTGTCGAAAGTCTTGGGAGCAACTACTTCTTGACATATTTGAACAGATTTATGTTTGAAGGATTTGGATGTGCGCGCGCGGCAGCGCGCGAATGTACCCCGCAATGCACCTGTTGCCAGGGAGTCTTCACAACAGCACCCCTGATATCAACGCATGTGCACCGCATTGTGTTATTTGACAGGGCTGAACGGGGGAGTCTATAACAGGATGACCTGGCATTGTTCGAACTCTGATAGGGAAAAAAAAAGGATCCAGAACCATACGTCAGTCGAATTGCGAAAAAGGCGGCACAAAACCCCGGCCTCGAGGGGGGGTGGAATCTATTACCCTGGCAGAGAAGAGGGATTTATGTGTGCATCCCGAAACGCGAGCCAACGCGCGCGGCGGGCACGAGGCGGGCACTTGCGGCCACCGACTGACAACCCAGAAATGCCGGCCAACGCGCGGGGCGGGCGCGAACCGGACGCGCTGGGGGCACCGGGCGAAAACTTAGAATACCACCAGCACTCTGGGCGTAGGTGGTCTAACGATAGTCTGTCTTTCCTCTTCCGCAAAACCCTCTTCCCCTTCGGGGAGGGGTGACCCCTCCCCCTGGTGGGGATACTTTTTGCTCGCGGGCGGCACTAAACAACTGCGCGCCGTCTAGAAACGAAACAACAACGCAACGATTTAAGTTACGGCCTAAGCCCTGGTGGGGGTATTTTTTTTGGTCGCGGCCGCAGGCGAGAGCGCAAGCGGCGAGTCGTAAGTCCGGGGCGCGGGCCTACTAATTGGCAACCCTGGTGAGGGTACGCGAAGCGTGAGGAATACCCAATCCACGCACGGACCGGGCACGAGGCGGGCAGAGGCGCGCAGGGCGACCGCGCAAAACACGTAGCCAGCTCACGGGGCCATCGCGAGGCGGGCACCGACGCCGGGCGAACACCCGGAAACGTCGGCCAGCGCACGGAGCGGGCATGAGGCGCGCACGGGCGGGCACCAGGCGAAGATCTGGATGCGCAGGCCAGCAAGGAACCAAGGAAGAACCCCTTCGTGCAAGCACTGTTTGGGTAACCAGAACGCTCAAGCAAGGCAAGCTACATGGACACGGAAAACACGAGAAACGATATGGGATCTCATGGGGACCTGTTGAATTTCTCCCCTGAGATCCGAGGAAATTTCGCCGCGGAACTTGGGGGCTGCAACATATTGCCAAGCCCGCTTCCACACAATTGTGTCGGACACGCTTGGTAAGCCTAAGGGGAATGATGCGAGATGATGAAGTTCTTCAGTCTATTCGCTCGAACTTCGGACTGCTCGGCGGGACCTGGTGACCCACTGGGTGGTCTATCCCAGTTCGACGCGCTGCAGACACTAACAATGCTCTCGCGCTCCTGCTGCGACGTTTCGAAGCCGGGTGGAGGCTTTGAGCACGAGGAGCAGATGCTGGCCCATTGTGTCGACAGAGGCTTCCCTCGGACTGCGCGGGCCTCGTTTAGTTCTCCCACAACGTGTCCAACTGTTTCTCTCGCTCTCTGTCTATTCCTCCTCCTCTCTCTCGCTGTCTTTTTTTCCTCTCTCTCTCTATTTTTCAATTGATCCTCTCCCCTCCTCTCTCTCTCTCACCCTCTCTGGCATACGCATGATTGTGAGCGAGATCCCAGAGAGGATGGGCACAACGACGACGAGCGGGTGTGGGCGCTTCACGCGCACCCCTCGAAGGGGCACAAGTTTCGGAAGAACTGCCATGCAAGCTGACTGACTCCTGCATGCCGACACCACGGTGTTCGGACGTGCTCGTGCACATGCGGGGGGCAGGTGCTGGAACACCACCGCACTGGACAGTGTGTCGAGCAATGGTGCCACGCGTGACCAAGCACCTTACCTCTGGTTTTCAATCGCCTGCAAGCACAACGTCCTGACTACCTCACTGCTTCAACGCTGGGGTAAAAGGGGCAGGGGAAGAGGGTACGCTTTTATAGGAGGAGTGATCGTTCTCAGGCTGCGTTGGCGGCGTCTAGAGAGGCGAACCCCGAACTTCTGCGATAGATGGCGGTTCTGAGAGGGTCTACCTCCACCTCTGTGACATGCCTTCGATACTTCTCCAGTTGCGCCTGTGGCTTGTGCGAGGGGGTCATGTCTCTTGGATGACCTCCCCATGTTGCACTCTGCCTCGAACTAACATCTTCCAGGAAGACTATTGTGCTACCGATCTACTCGTGAGCCCTTCCCCAACGGCATCGCGTTCGACAAATTGAGCAACTCTTATTGAGGCTGCTGGCTGAACCAGACTTCCGAAAATAATCATGTAGCACCCCGCCCGATCTCCGACAAGGTCCGACCAGAGATGGTTCTGCTCCTGGGCGCCGCCCTCGGGGCCTACCGAAGAGCCCCAAGAAGGGCTAAGAGGCTCCCAAGAGGCCCCCAAGAAGGTCCAATAGTGCCCCGAGACGCCACAATACCGCTCGACGAAACACAAAATGGCCCCCAGACAGCCCAAGAGGCCTCCAAGACGTCCCCAGAAGCCTCCCAGAGCATCCCAAGAGCGCTCCAACATTCAAACATTTTGAACTTCCCAATAAGTTTTTGACAGACTTTGGCGTTCTCGCCATTTCGGCTTCCCGACGCTTCGAGACGGCCCAAGAGGCCCCCCAAATTGTTCCAAGACAGCTCCAGAGGCCTCCAAGAGGGCCTGAAGACGGCCCAAGAGAGCACCAAGAGGACCTCAAGACGGCCCAAGAGGCCTCCAAGACTGCCCAAAAGGGCCCCAGGACGGCCCCAAGAGAGGGCCCAGAGTGGGATCCCGAACGGACATTTCGACCCCCCGGCCCCAAGAGGCCCCCAACATCTCCAAGAGGCCCCCAAGAGGCCCCAAGAGAGCCCAAGAGGCCCCCGAGATGCTTCCAGGACGCTCCCCAAAGGACCCCAACCTTCTACCTAGGAGCCCCCGAGAGCCCCCCGAGGAGACCATAAGAAGTCTCCACAAGGACTCTGACCCGGAACCTAGGCATGGTTGCCCCGCGGCGTTGCAGGGGCAACGAACACGCGGGCAAATGCCTACAATGAAACATTATGGGCTGGCGGACGAAGTTGCGGATAAGAGTGAGAGGGTGGGTCGCGGGTGGGTGGCGGGCCAATCGCGGGTGGGTTGCGGGTGGGTCGCAAGTGGGTCGCGGGCCTGGTCGCGAATGGGACGACGACGACGACAACCACAACAACAGCCACACCGGCAACAATAACACCAACACGAACACAAACGGCAGTAGCAACAACAACAACAACAACCACACCAGCAACAACAATCCGCACCGCGGAACCCCGCTTCAGCCACGCATCGCCCCCTCACTCTGACAGGTTAGGCCGTGAAGACATCTGGAAGTCATGAATTCAAGAGAAGGCTTAAGACGCCCAACCAAACCTTTCGGGGTTCGCTGCGCGTGCCTCGGTAAGACACCGTGAACAAGGTCATGCCTGCCTGTTGGGTGCACTGTCTGGACGGTCCGCGTGCCGCTTAGGGGCACACCATATACATGTAAATTTCCTAACGCTACTCCGCGCGTGGACGTTCACACGCAAAGCAAACTCAGACATCCGCCACCGTCCTGTGCAGCGGTAAGTGTGTGTTGGGTCCTTGCTGATTCGTTACTTCGGCTTCGTGCGAAGCCCCCCGCCTCCAGCGGGCCAAAACTTATTTTCAGCAACGCCTCACACGGAACATCCCCCCCCTTCCCCGACGCATCGGGCCCAATGTGCGTCCTCTTGTTGCTGCAGCTCCCTACATTCTCGGCCTCCACGCAAACACGTGTCCACAACAAGAACTCGTCGTGGGGGCTTGTGCGTCTTCCTCCCCGAGCACCCGTCCCTCGCCCTCCCCAATCCCCTCCCCTCTCCCCTGCCCCCACGGCACGATGGCGGATGCGCGCGGGAGCGCAACTGGATCGCCAAGGAGGTCGGCAATCAGCTTCAAATTGTGGATGTAATTAGCGCAGGGTGGGCCACGGTACGCCAACCGAGTCAGCGGAAGACCGAGTCCAGCACCCGAGCGACCTTGCGCGTCCATTCGGGGATCTGCTCGGAAGGAAAAGGGTACGCCTAAGCCAGCCGCCCCCTTCTTCCAACCACCCTCCCCTCACCCTTCGTCTCCACCTCGCCTCTCTCTCTCTCTCTCCTCCCTCTCCTCCCTCTCCTCCTTCTCCTCCTACGCCTCCGTCTCCTCGTGACCTTCCTTCTTCTTCTTCTTCCTCCTCCTCCTCCTCCTTCGCCTCTTCCTTCTCCCCCTCCTCTACTCAGAATTCAAAACTCAGTAAAGCAAGCTACGGGTCAATTCTACCAACAAGGTGAGGCACCTCAGCTCCTATCCTCTCCCTCTTCGGGCGGTGCTGTCCATGACGGTGAGCCTCTAATCAACCACCTCTCCCCCTTATCCCGCAACCCCTCCTCCTCCTCCTCCTCCTCCTCCTCCTCCTCCTCCTCCTCATCATCATCATCATCATCATCATCATCATCATCATCATCATCATCATCATCATCATCATCATCATCATCATCATCATCATCATCATCATCATCATCACCACCACCACCACCACCACCACCACCACCACCACCACACACCACCACCACCACCACCACCACCACACACCACCACACCACCACCACCACCACCACATCACATCATCATCATCATCATCATCATCATCATCATCATCATCATCATCATCATCATCATCATCATCATCATCATCATCATCATCATCATCATCATCATCATCATCATCATCATCATCATCATCATCATCATCATCATCATCATCATCATCATCATCATCATCATCATCATCATCATCATCATCATCATCATCATCATCATCTCATCATCATCATATCATCATCATCATCATCATCATCATCATCATCATCATCATCATCATCATCATCATCATCATCATCATCATCATCATCATCATCATCATCATCATCATCATCATCATCATCATCATCATCATCATCATCATCATCATCATCATCATCATCATCATCATCATCATCATCATCATCATCATCATCATCATCATATCATCATCATCATCATCATCATCATCATCATCATCATCATCATCATCATCATCATCATCATCATCATCATCATCATCATCATCATCATCATCATCATCATCATCATCATCATCATCCTCCCCCCTTTTTTTCTTTCTCTCTCTCTCTCTCTCCCTCCCCCTACACCCGCATCCTCCTCCTCCTCCTCCTCCTTCTCCTCCTCTCCTCCTCCTCCTTCCCCCTCTCTCCCCTCTCTTGGCCGCGGCGGGGCGCGCGCCCTGGCTCCTGCCTGTTCCTCCCCCAGACCCCCCTCCCCTGCCGTGCTGCGACCGCGCCAGGACGAGGGCCTGGGCCCCGCGGAGGTCAGCGGCTCAAGCGTGGGGCCCTGAAGGATGGGGCCCCGAGGACAAGGAGCCCCAAGCGGTGCACCTCCGAACTGAGACCCCTCCCCATCCGCATGGCCCCGTGCCTCTGGGCCCCATCTTTGAGCCGCCGAGAGGGGCCTGGGGAGCGTCCGCCCCGCGATCGCGGCCGGCGGCGGCGGCGATCGGCGGCCGGCTGCCAGCCCGCGGGGCAGCCCGCGGGTGTCAGGGCTGCCTTTGGGGCGTCGGAGAGGCCGACGCCGGCCGCGATTGAAACGGCGGCCAGGGCGTCGGCGGACGGCGGGCGGGCCTCCAGTCGGGCCTCGAGCCTCTTCAAACGAGGCGCGCGCAGGGGTGCTTCAGAGCCCCCGCCCTGCCCTCGCGCCAGGGGGGCTCGGCTCGGCCCAGGGCGGCGCGAATTTGGAGGCAGCAAATCTACCAAACCACAAGGTCACGGTGGTGGGATTCGCGCCTCCGAGGGGAGGGTGAGAAATACGAGGGGGGAAAAGGAGGAGGCGGAGTTGGAGGGCGAGGAGGACAGACGTAAACCCAGAATGTATGAGGGATGCTGCAATTCATTCACCCTCCCGTTCCAAGGCCCCTCCTCAGAAATCCCTGCATCCATTCCTTTTCAATGCAGGAGTCGCCTCCTTGAACGAAGAGCGCCCCATTGTCCTGCCATTCGGGCGGGAACCCTTCTTCCGAAAAGAATCGACCTTCATCCATCCAGCCATGAGACATGCCCAGATGTATGATAATACTTTCCGAACAGCGAATGCTGTGAAGAATCTGAACTGTATGAACTGAGCCCGTTTCTCAGACACAGGATGTGAAACATATGCCGCTGGCGTGCCGTGCCTTGCCTTGCTGTGCCGTGCCCGCGTGCCGTGCCCAAGTTCTAGAATGCAACACATATGCAATTTTGTGCCTATACGTCCAATTTCGAGAATGCAGAACATCTTCCGTGCTGCGCCGTGCCCGCGTGCCGTGCCCGTGCCTAGTCTTCAGACTGCGAATTCCTGAGCCAGCGAGTGCTGTCAAAGATCTGAATTGCATTCAGACGGCCCGTTTCTAAGGCACAGAACGCCTAACACATGCTGCTTGCGTGCCGTGCCTTGCCCTGTCGTGCCGTGCCCGCCTGCCGTGCAGTGCCTAGATTCTAGAACGCGAGAAATGTGTCGTGCCATGCGGTGCCCACATGCCCAAATTCTGGACTGCGAGAAGTCGTCCGTGCCGTGTCGTGCAATGCCCGCGTGCCGAGCCTAAATTTCAGAAAATCATAAACGAACCGTGCCGTGCCGTGCCCGCGTGCCGTGCCGTGGGGGAAGGGCCCTCCCCCCTCCGTGATTTTTTTTTGGAGGGCCGCAAGATGTCAGGGCGTCAGATGCTCCAAGATAGCCTCCACGATGGCTAAATGTGGCAGGCTATGGTTCAACAGAGCTTCCAGCATACACCATCTTTCTCATCATCATCACCACCACCAGCATCATCATCATCATCACCAACATCATCATCATCATCACACTCATCATCATCATCACCAACATTATCATCATCATCACCAACAACATCATCACGATCGTCATCATAATCATCCGCACCATCGTCATCACCATCATCACGATCATCATCACCATCACAATCATCCTCTTCTTCATCACCGTTATCACCACCACCATCATTATCACCATCACCATCACCATCACCATCGCCATCGCCATCACTACCACCATCACCATCACCATCATCATCATCATCACCATCATCATTCTCATCATCATTCTCATCATCACCATTCTCATCATCATCACCATCACCATCAGCATCGCCATCACCATCATCATTACCACTACAACCACCACCACCATCGTCAGCATCATCACCATCACCATCACCATCACCATCATCATCATCACCACAACCATCATCATTATCATCACCGTCTTTATCATCGTCATCATCATCATCACCATCACCATCACCATCATCATCAACACCATCATCATCATCATCATCATCATCATCATCAACATCATCATTATCATCATAACATTCATAACCATAATAATCCTCCTCCTTCTCCTCCTCCTCCTCCTCATCATCATCATCATCGTCGACGTCGTCATCGTCGTCGTCGTCGTCGTCGTCGTCATCGTCATCGTCATCAGCTACGCCTCGAAGCCTGGGGTGGCGTGTCCGGGCCCAGGGCCTGGGCGCTGGCCCTGGCCCCGGGGCCCAAGGCCCCAGGCACGTCCTGCATCGTGGGAGGAGGAGGGAGGAGGAGGAGGAGAAGGAGGAGGAGGAGAAGGAGGAGGAGGAGGAGGAGGACGATGAGGAGAAGGAAGAGGAGGACGAGAAGGATGAGGAGGAGGCGGAGGAGGAGGAGGAGGAAGAGGAGGAGGAGGAAGATATGGAGGAGAAGGAGGGGGATGATGATGATGATGAGGATGAGGATGAGGATGATGATGATGATGATGATGATGATGATGATGATGATGATGATGATGATGATGATGATGATGATGATGATGATGATGATGATGATGATCAGGAGGAGGAGGAGGAGGAGGAGGAGGGAGGAGGAGGGGAGGAGGAGAAGGAGAAGGAGGTTGAGGAGGAAGAGGAGAATGAGGGGGAGGAGGAGGAGGAGGTGGAGGAGGAGGAGGAGAAGGAAGAAGAGAAGGAGGAGGGGGAGGAGGAGGAGGAGGAGGAGGAGGAGGATGAGGAGGAGGAGCAGGAGGAGGAGGAGGAGGAGGGGGAGGAAGGGGGGGAGGGGGAGGAGGCAGAGGCGGAGACGGCGGCGGCGGCGGCGGAGGAGGAGGAGGAGGAGGAGGACCAGTGTCCAAGAGTCATCAGCGATGTTGGAATTAACCCTCCCTCCAAGCTCCCTCTTCATAGGCCCCTTACAACGGTTTATTTCCATTGAGGGAACTGCCTCGTTGGAAGACAACCGTTTGAAGATCCTGAAGCATGCCAAAACATTGTTCTCGGGATTTAACGCCACGTGTAAACCTGACTGCTGCGTCTGGACGATCCGGAATCGTGCCAGAGCGCCATTTTTGGGACTTCAACACCGCGAATCAACATAACTGTTGCTCCCGCATAATCCTGAATCCTGCCAGAACACCATTTCTGGTACGTTGATCATGGGAATCCGTGGAACTCTTGCAAAATTTGAAAAATGTGCGCTGCGCTGAGACGAGAACCAGATTTTGAAAAAGAATCGCCCTCAACCCGTGAAATTCCTGCAAATATTTAAAACGAATGTGCGCGGCTCTCAAGCGAGAGCCACATTTTGAAAAGGAACCGCCCTCAATCCGTGAAGCTCTTGCCATTTCTAAAACGAATGTGCGCGGCGCTCAAGCGAGAACCACATGTTGAAAACGACCCGCCCTCAATCCGTGAGGCCCTTGCAATTTTTTACAATGAATGTGCGCGGCGCTAAAGCGAGGGTCACATTTTGAAAACGACCCGCCCTCAATCCGTGAAACTCTTGTGATGTCTTACAACGAATGTGCGCGGCGTTGAGGCGAAAACCACATTTTCAAAACGGCCCGCCCTCCATCTGCGAAACTGTTGTCATTTTAAAGCTTCAGAATCATACATGGTGAGGAAGTCCCAAGCGAAACGCCCGGCCCGCCCACGAAACTGGCCTCGGGGTGCAACAGGGGGAAGTTGTCTATAAGGAAAAGGAGTGGAGGAGGATAAGGAGAAGGACGAGAAAGAGGAGGAGGAGGGGGAAGAGGAGGAGGAGGAGGAGGAGGAGGAGGAGAAGGAGGAGGAGGAGGAGGAGGATGAGGGGGAGGAGGGAGGAGGAGGAGGAGGAGGAGGAGGAGGAGGAGGAGGAGGAGGAGGAGGAGGGAGGAGAGGGGAGGAGGAGGAGGGGGTGGAGGGAGGAGGAGGAGGGGGAGGAGAAGGAGGAGGAGAAGAGGAGGATGATGATGATGATGCTGATGCTGATGATGATGAGGATGCGGATGCGGATGATGATGAGGATGAGGATGAGGATGATGATGATGATGATGATGATGAGATGCATGCTGATGACGCTGATGATGATGATGATGATGATGAGGAGGAGGAGGAGGAGGAGAAGGAGGAGGAGGAGGATGAGGAGGGGGAGGGGGAGGAGGAGGGGGAGGAGGATGGGGAGGAGGAGGAGGAGGAGGAGGAGGCGGAGGAGGATGAGGAGGAGGAGGCGGAGGAGGAGGAGGAGAAGGAGGAGACCGAGGAAGAGGAGGAGGAGGAGGGAGGGAGGAGGGAGGAGGGAGGAGGGACGAGCAGGGAGGGAGGAGGCAGGAGGGAGGAGGGAGGAGGGAGAAGGGAGGTGGAAGGAGGGAGGAGGGACAAGACAAGACAAGCGCTCCGAAGAACCTCTGGTCGACTGAGCTACCTCGATCTACTCTAGGTTCGGAGGAAAATCCCGAAGGGGACGGAAAGCGGGGCGAGGTGGACCTTCGGAGCATCGCCGAAAGCTAGCGTCCCGCCCCGAGGACCGCCAAGGGCACGCGTTACCCAAGACGGGGCCCAGCGAAGAGTAGGGGGGGCGACACGACAACGAAGGGGAACGAGTCAAGGCCCCAGGTACCCAGGAGGACGAGGAGGACGGGGGGTGAGAAAGACTACTCTTCGCTCGAATTCCAGCCTCGCGAGTCTAATAATATGGGCGCTATGAAACAACTTCTCGAAACTGGGATTCCCTGGGAGAATCTGGCGGATTTTTAAATATTCTCTAACACATACTGAATCAGGAGCCTCCGAACCTCTACCTACCCACTCAGAGGAGGCCGGCCTAGGTCCCGTAGCGCGAGACGGCCTCGAGGACGCCGAGGGGGGTGCCGAAGCCGCAGGCCTCGAAGGAGTAGGCGCCGAGGTCGTCGGTCTCGGGGTCGTAGGGGCGGGAGGTGGAGGAGCCGAAGCCGTAGGCCTCGAAGGAGTAGATGTGGGCCTCGAAATCGTCGGTCGTGAGGCCGTAGTCAGCGGGCTCGACTCTGTAACGCCCGTGTCGAGAAGCCGAGCCGAGGTCTCATCAGGCCGCTGAAAGTTCGCGTCCGTTATGCCATAGCTCATTGACAAAAAATTTCCCCAGTCATCCACTGTGCCATTCGTGCCGTCATTCCACGTCCCGTCATCGGCCCTCTCCCCCCGCCCAAGGCGCAGGTCGCCCCGAGAGGGACCAGACATTAGGGCAGTGCCGACCGAGGGCGGGGGGCTAATTGGACGTGTTGCGGCATGGAGTAGTCGGCTCACTCTTTCGTGAAAGCTTCCAGCCAGTCCTGCAGCTCGCGCTCCATGTGGCTGACGGGAGCTCGACCCTGCTTCCACTCTGCGCCAGTCTGGATCATCGCGTCGATGATGCATTGTCGGATCTCTGGGTGCAGGTGTAGCATGAGCTTGCGTTTGTTGACGTCGTAGCAACGATCCATCTTGCAGAATTTGATCATGTCCCCGCGCTTCGCCTCGTCCCATTGCTCGATGCTCTGCTTTATCTCCACGAGCTTCTTGGCGTTGGCGGCTCCGACCGCGTCCTTGCGCTGCAGGAGTGCCGTGAGGAGGCCGCCGAAGATCCACAGGTGTGGAGGCCCGTGATTGTGGCCTTTGCCTGAAGCGGTGACGGCCTCGTTGTAGCGTACACCCTGGGCGCTCATGGCGTTCGCCTCCTGGCTGGTGCCGTCGAGAATCAGGCAGTCGAAAACCACCCCCTCGATGTTGCGCTTGGACTGGCCCAGCTGGAGGAGGAACTTCAGCATCAACACCTGCAACGTCATCTGTCCGCCCTTGAATCCGAGGTCCGTCTTGGCCTGGCCGTCGTTCTTGGCCCTCACGCGCCTCGGCGGCTGCTCGGCCACCCTCGGCGCACCCTCGGTGGGGAACATCTCGGCCCCCACGCGCTGCTAGTCCCGTCCGAGGGGCGGTGGGCCCAACACCTCGCTCTCGAGGAAAAGCTGCGACGGGCGGAGGACGTGGAAGGTGGTGTGATGTAACATGATCATTATACTGCTCGATCGTATCGAATGTGATATCGCAATACAGACAGCGATTTTCACTCGGAGGTGTGAATGGCCATTGAAATGCAGTGCGTCCCATTCTACATACTCTGCTATCCCATGCCGTGCGAACATGTTGACGAGTACTGTCTTTCGTAGAGAATGTTTGTTTACACCATGGACACATATTGCAGATAACGCATGTGAAGAGTGGGTTACGTCGGCCGTGCTCTCCCCCTCGAGAATTATACATGTGTGACGTGAGTGCCCCATTCGAAGAAAATGTTTGTGAGCACAGCATGCCGCGCTCGTCCTTCAGCGTGCGCGCAAAGGCGGTGAGACTCTCCTCCGTCGGGGGCTCCATGGCTCGAGCTGGCCCTCGAAGGCGGCGGAAGAAGGCGGCCTCCCCTTCAGTGAGGATAGCTGCCTTCAAAATCGAGGCGTCCACTGCGAGGAATGCGTCCCGCACCTCGTCATTGTGAAAAAGTGCGACATATGAATAATCCCAGTCCCTCCACCTCTCGTAAAAAACCTCCGTCCCACTAATACCTGCGAAACTCCATAGATCGATCTCTACTTGGTGCGCTAGCGGTGGGGCTTGCCGGGTGAGGTGTCCGTGGGGGTCCAGAGCAGGCGGGCCGCGTCCCAGGGTTCCCCAGAGGGCCGCGATAACCTGGGCGTGGGCCTTGGCATCACGGGCCATTTTTTGCACCCAAGCGAATCGACGAGAGGCCTGCGCACACCTAGTAGGGATGACCTTCCACTTTCGTCGAAGAACGGCATGTGGCAAACTCGTGGGGTGGGCTCCCGTCCAATCGGTGGCCTGCCCTCTCTCGAGAGTGCGCAAATACTTGGCGATAATGCTATCAATCTGGTCGGTCATCTTTGCCGTGAAAACGTAGGGCTCATTAGCTGACAGACCCGCTTCGATAACATGTCCTTGAAATGCTAGAATCTTAAGCTTGTTTGAGATTCTACTGCTCCACAGCCTCCCCATTTTAGCCCATCCCGTCTTCATCGCCGAGCATCTATATTGGAGTTCTTCCATTGTCGCGAGATTCCAAGCGTATCGACCTCCGAGATAACGAGCTCTAGCTAGTGCCTTCCCCTCCGTGGTGAGTTCCTCGAATCGTTTGTTTTCGTGTCGGGCATGAAAGCTAGGAACGATCTCCCTTTTCCCCTTGTTTTGTAGTAGTCCTACTTCTTGAAGGGCGGTATCTAAATGAGCATCGCTTTGACTCGTTAGGAGATGGGCCTCTCCAGCCTCTCCCGTCGGTACTGGTAGCTTATCAAAGATATCATCGGCAAACACTGTGGCTCCTCCGTCGAGCTCCCTCGCGAAGATGCCACACTTCAAAGGAAGAATGAGGTGGGGAGGGCGACGTCTCCTCCACTCCTCGAAAGGTTGCTGCGTGATCTTCGCGAAGACCACGGGCTCTTCACTCGATCCCATCAATCCTCCGCACCCGTGTCGTGCTACCAAGTTCTGTGGTTCCTTCCATGGCTCCTCCCCTCCTTCGGCGAAACTCAAGAAGATGGCCGCATGAGCGGCTCGATGAAGAAAAAAAGGCGCATCCTGCTCGCTAGGAGGGAGGGAGGGGGGATGAGTGAGCAGGGAAGGAAAGAGGGAGGGAGGAGGGAGGATGGAGGGAGGAGGGAGAAATGATGAGGGAGGAAGGAGGAGAACGTGGAGGATTAGGTGGAATATGATGATGCTGAGGAGAAGGATGAGGACGATGACGAGGAGGAGGAAGATGATAATGAGGGGGCGGATGAGGAGGAAGAGGGGGAGGAGGCGGATGAGGATGAGGATGAGGAGGAGGATGATAATGATGATGGGGAGGAGGAGGATGAGGAATCTGAAGCGGAGTAGAAGGAGAAAGATGCGGCGCAATAATAAGAGGAGGAAGCGCAGGAGAAGTATAATAAGGAACGGGAGACGGAGGAGGCGGATGCGGAGGGTGAGGAAGAGGCGTAGGAGGAGTAGGAATAGGAGGAATAAGAGGAGGAAGAGGAGGTGGATGCCGACGAGGAGGAGGATGAGGAGGAGGAGGAGGAAGAGGCGGATGAGGAGGAGGAGGAGGAGGAGGAGGAAGGGAATGAGAAGGAGGAGGTGGCGGAGGAAAACGAGGAGGACGCCGATGAAGAGGAGGCGACCGAGGAGGAGAACGATGCGGAAAACGAGGAGGAGAACGAGGATGACGAGGAGAACGCGGACGAGGATGAGGAGGAGGACGAGGAGGAGGAGGATGAGGTGGAGGAATGAGAGGATGATGAGGCGGGAAACGATGAGGAGACGGGGAGGGGAGGAGGAGGCGGAGGAGAAGGAGGAGGCGGAGGAGGAGGACGAGGAGGGGGAGGAGGAGGATGAGGAGACTGAGGAGGAGGATGATGAGGGGGGGGGAGGAGGAGGAGGAGGAGGAGGAGGAGGAGGAGGAGGAGGAGAGGAGGAGGAGGCGGATGAGGAGGAGAAGGAGGCGGAGGCGAAGGAGGAGTATGACAAGGGGTCGGATGTGGAGGCCGCGGAGGAGAAGGAGGATGAGGAGGATGAGGAGGATGAGGCGGATGAGGAGGAGGAGGAGGCGGAGGAGGCGGAGGAGTAAGATGAGGAGGAAGACGATGCGGATGATGAGCATGATGAGGAGGAGGATGAGGCGGAGGAGGAGGAATATGAGAAAGAGGATGAGGAGGCAGCGGAGCGGGATGACGAGGAGGAGGGGGGGGGAGGAGGATGAGGATGAGGAGGAGGAGGAGGAGGCGGATGAGGAGGATGAGGATGAGGAGGAAGAGGAGGAGGATGAGAATGTGGAGGAGACTGATGAGGCGTAGTATGATGAGGAGGAGGAGAAGGACGATGATGAGGAGGCGGATGAAACGGAGCAGGCGAGGGAGATGGAGAAGGAGGATGATGAGGAGGAAGAGGAGGAGGATGAGGCGGATGAGGCGGAGGAGGAGGAGGATGAGGATATTGAGGAGGATGAGGAAGATGAGGATGGGGAGGATGAGGAGGAGGCGGGGGAGGATGAAGAGGAGGAAGAGGAGGATGATGAGGAGGAGGATGAGGAGGATGGGGAAGATGATGGTGAGGATGAGGAGGATGAGGATGAGGACGAGGTGGAGGTAGAGGAAGAGGAGGAGGGGGAAGCGGAGGAGGAGGAGGACGATGCGGAGGAGGATGAGGCGGAGGAGGCGGAGGAAGAGGAGAAGGAGGATGAGGAGGAAGCTGAGGGGGATGACGATGAGGAGGGGGAGGGGGATGAGGAGGAGGAGGAGGCGAATGAGTAGGATGAGGATGAGGAGGAATATGAGGATGAGGATGAGGATGAGGATGATGATGATGATGATGCTGATGCTGCTGCTGCTGCTGATGATGATGATGAGACGGAGGAGGCGTAGTATGAGGAGGAGGAGGGGGACGATGATGAGGAGGAGGATGAGAAGAGGAGGATGATGAGGAGGAGGAGGGATGAGGAGGATAATGAGGAGGATGGGGGAGGAGGAGGGGAGGAGGAGGAGGAGGCGGGGGGGAGGAAGAGGAGGAGGATGAGGCGGATGAGGGATGAGGAGGAGGATGAGGAGGAGGATGGGAGGAGGAGGTGAGGAGGAGGATGATGAGGATGAGGAATATGAGGAGGTAGAGGAAGAGGAGGAGGGGGAGGCGGAGGAGGAGGAAGATGATGATGATGATGAGGAGGAGGAGGAGGAGGACGCAGGAAGAGAGGGGTGGGGGGAGGAGAGGAGGAGGAGGATGAGGAGGAGGAGGAGGAGCAGGAGCAGGGAGGAGGAGGAGGAGGAGGAGGAAGAGGAGGGGACGGAGGAGGGGGAGGAGGAAGAGGAGGAGGAGGAGGATGAGGAGGAGGATGGGACATACGCTGATGGTGCTGATGATGCTGATGATGATGGTGGTGATGATGACGACGACGATGAGGAATATGAGGAAAAGGAGGAAGAGGAGGAAGAAGAGGAGGAGGAGACGGACGAGGAGGAGGCCGAGGAGACGGACGGAGAGGAGGAGGAGGATTGAGGAAGGGGTGGAGGGGGAGAAGGAGGAGGAGGAGGAAGAAGATAAATAGAAGGGGAAGCTGAGGAGGAGGAGGAGGAGGAGGAGGAGAGACGGAAGAGGAGGAGGTAGTAGACGGAGGGAGAGGAGGAGGAGGAGGGGGGGGGGGAGGGGGGGGGGGGAGGGAGGAGGGCGGAGGATGATGATGAGGAGGAGGAGGAGGAGGGGGAGGAGGAGGAGGAGGAGGAGAAGGAGGAGGAGGGAGGAGGAGGAGGAGGAGGAGGAGGAGGAGGAGGAGGAGGAGGAGGAGGAGGAGGAGGAGGAGGAGGAGGAGGAGGAGGAGGAGGAGGAGGAGGAGGAGGAGGAGGGGGACGAGGAGGGGGCAGAGGCGAGGAGGGGGGCGGGGAGAAGGACGAGGAGGAGGAGGAGGAGGAGGAGAATGAGGAGGAGGACGAGGAGGACCTGCGTAAACCATAGAGTCACCAACGATGTTGAAATTCACCCTCCCTCCAAGCTTCCTCTTCATAGGCCCCTACAGCGGTTCATTTCCATTGAGGGAACTGCCTCGTTGGAAGACAACCGCTTGAAGACCTTGAGTCATGCCAAGACATGGTGTTCGGGATTTCCTCGCCACGGATGAACCTGACTGCTGCGTCATGACGATCTGGAGTCGTGCCAGAACGCCATTTTTGGGGACCCCAACACCGCGAATCAACATAACTGTTGCACCCGCATAATCGTGAATCCTTCCCAAACACAATGTCTTGTAGGTTGACCATGGGAATCCGTGAAACTCCCTGGCGCGCGAATCCAGAATACAGTGAATGTGCGCGGCGCTGAGGCGAGAACCACATTTTGAAAAAGAGCCGCCCTCAATCCGTGAAGCTCTTGTAATATTTTACAACGAATGCGCGCTTTGAATACGACCCGCCCTC